CTAGATCTAAATGGACAGTTTATGGGGCTCCCGAAGTATGCGAACCAAGATGGCGGACATCGGAATGTAATATGTGTACTAGGTTAGGGTTAGGCCATAATTTTAGGTATAAATACTACGGGAGGCTCTTGGCTAGTCTTCGAACTGATAATAGGACTAAAATAAGGAAAATTGGAAAAAAAATATCGCCTAACCCTAACCTGTTACCCATGTTACGTTCCGATGTCCGCCATCTTGGTTCGCATACTTCGGGAGCACCCAGTTTATCGCGCATGTTTGTGTCTGCAGAATGGCATGGCTCATGTGTTGGTAGTGCCAAGGCTGAATCATGCTTTTAAAAGGCCCTAAGTACCTAGGAATATGGTTATCTAAATATAAAAATATAATTATGAAACATATGTAAGGTTGCGAGGTTGAGGGGCCGCAACAACTTTTCAGAAGGTCTCGCGGGCCGCAGTCGGAGAAAACCCAAAAGTGATCAAGACATGCGAGTTTACTCACTTTAAATATATTTAAGAATGAGAGTTTATCGTTCTAATCATTTCTCAAGTAAACTATATGAAGCCTATATAAAGGTATAAAATTGCTTCCCGAGAAATGGTATCTTTTCTCGTGTTCATTTTTGTAATGTCGCTTCAATTTATATTCTTTCGTCACAGATATTACTTGAAACACACACCAGACCCCGTGGTTTAACGTTGTCGTGGGTGAGGAAATACGTTTACTCTCAGTTTACTTCGGTCATCTTTTTTCTACACTCATTGTATGATGAATTTATCACTTGTAAGTAATGTGATCAGGCCTAGTGCTACCGTTAAAAAACAACCAAGTCCGTCTAAGTTGGGACCTCGGACCCAGTTAAAAAATGGATCACGCGGCGCTAAGTCAGCTCTGCGGTTCGTCACTGCTGTCACATGGCCAACGCTTGAAAATGGAAGAGTGTTTCGACTCAAATAAAGGAACAAAACGTCTCTTCAAATGAGGAGTTACTTGACGCGAGCTCATCTAATCGGCTTGGTCCTGTCTGCAAAAGACAATTCATTCTTATTTTACCGATCACAGGACGTCATTTCCATATTATCACCGTCTTGACGTTTATGGATACAACAATGAAATCCCGTGATTTTAACAAACATCAATCCCAAAATATGGATCAGGAAAAGGACTATTCCAAGTTGGAATAGTTCGGAAATAAATTAAAATTGTTCTGCTAATAAATACAAATATCTGCCAATGGTTTAGTAGTGTTAGTTGAGGTTGTTCTGCGGGCGCACAGAATGTGTCAGCCGCAGTTTGGACCACCCTGTTTTAAGTTATCTGTAATTGAATACGGAAGTTTCCGTGTTCATTACTAACTGAGGGCAAAGTTACGATTAATTCACATGTTTTGAACAATTTTCGTACTCTTAGAAGGATTATTTTGAATGTACAGTATGCATACTTCCAGGAAGTATATTAATTTTGGTAAATCGTGAGAATCTAAGTCATAACTAGTGAAGCTGTTTTGAAGGGTTCCATTACATTTGAACCCACGTTCATTTGAACCCATGACAATTGCACCTGCATACTATTGCACCTATGGAAATTTTTTTTGTTGTACGGATAGTTGAACCCATACTAACCCTAACCCATGGGTTTCAGCACCCGCATATTGATTGAACCCGCGGATATAGACATGGGTTCAAATGTACGTGGGTTCAAATGTACGGTCACCGTTTTGAAGTGTTGGGTGGAAAATCGATGCATACAAAGCGACCAATTCCACTCAAACAAGTACAAAAAAAGGTTAGAAATCACGTGTGGTCTCATATTTAAGATACTAAAAGAGGTCGGCGTCATAAAGTAAATTGCCCTCATATGGAATAGCCTACGACATTATCTTTTATTATACACGACTGTTATGAAGTATTGATTTGAAAAATCGATGCATACAAAGCGACCAATTCCACTCAGACAAGTACAAAAAAGTGTTAGAAATCACGTGTGGTCCCATATTTAAGATGTATATATTAAACACAGCTGTTTTGGAAATAAAGTAACCAGGATTCGTGAGAGTCTATAAACCAGTGGTTCTTAAACTGGGGGCGCGAGATTCTCAAATGGGGGGGGGGGGGGGGGGGGCGAGAGGTCACAAGATGAAATCGGAAATATAACGGCTCCTGAAACGGTCTCAGCGTTCGTTAAAAGTACCGGCTTTTTTCGTGTTATATTAAATTTTTCTGTCTCGTAATAACTACAATAATTCAAAATGACTCTCTATTTTAATTCATTTGTGTTCAGGGTAACTCGCGGTTGCGGCGACTCACGACAAAATAAACTCATTACCTATCTAAAATACCACGCCAATCCGCGGACATAATAAAGTGTGATCAACTGCCAGATTAAATTTAGTTTATATATATATTGCACTCATGCGAATTCGTTGTCGTCATTAGAAAGATCTGGTATAATATCCCAGAAAGTATATTTAATTTAGTACGATTAAAATACATGTAAAGTATATTAGTGGATGAAAAATACATATATATTCATCGAAACGGAATCCCCGCGGTACGGCTTCTGAGTCAGTCCTCGAGATTACGCCAGTCGTTAAAAGAGCCGACTTTTTCAACGGATATGTAATGGTTTTTCGGTTGAATAAAATATTCAATCCATGATTGATATACTTATTTAAAATGGTTGCTTTATTCATTTAATTGTGATAAATTAAATCTGCGATTGCGTCGATAAAATAAAAGCACCAGTACTCCAAAATAACACGGCAATCCGCAACCATAAAAATGTTGATTACATTTTGTTTTGATTTGTAGTCTTGCCAATTTCACCAATATGAGCTGTCCCTGCAACTCTTACTCCGCTCCGGGGTAAAATTTATATCAAGTCTGTAGTTTTAGAACACTACTGGTGTGCCGCACGCACAAGGAATTTATGAGATTTTCAATGTATAAGAAAGTGTTTTTAATCTGTCGCGTTCCACCCCAAAACAAAACTCATGACGTTTTCCGTTTTATTTTTAGTATATTATAATGCCACTTTTACAATAAAGAAATTTTTAGTTACGGATTCACTTCTTTATTCTATCTTTAGCATCTCGTCGCTGATGATTATAATAACTCGTTTTCCTCAGAGGTGTCATGGTTCCATTCGAGAACAAAAAAAGTAATTATAATCGTCTTCGCGGCACAAGAATATGTCGAGGGAAATTTTGGATTTAGGAAGAATAAACACCGAAATCAAGATTCTTAGGGCTTAAATAACACGCCAAGCTGACGTAAACAATGGAGATTTAAACAAAATGCAATCGCAAACGCCTTAGCGACAACAATTGATTGAAATTTTACGTGTCTTATGTAAACGTTTAAGCAGAAAATACATTGAAGCATAGGTTTATTGCTTGTTTAGTTTTACTTGATAAATAGTTTGATTTGGCCAAGTATTGCAAACTGAGCGGAAAAACGAGAACGTATGACGACCAACCACTATTTGGCTCTATTCATACGACAGTGAATGGCGAAGTTGAAGCGTTTTATGCCTAAACAATCTATGAGAGACGGTATGAGACCAACACTCAGTTATAGCGCCATTTTAAAATATAACAACTTAAGCATTTTTTCAAAGCAAAAAGAGGGGGGGGGGGGGCGCGAAGTTTGTAAAATTTTTCAAAGGGGGGCGCGGCTCAAAGAACCACTGCTATAAACACTACAGTTAGAGTCTTTCCAGCGCTTGGGAGATTGGAGACATCGACACGATTTTGCAAGGATCAAGATTGCCTGTAATATGTTTCACTTCTTACTTCGTTCTATCGATACTGAAATATCCTACTTCACGTGTAGAGGTTGCATGAACAGCAGAAAAAATAACATTCCGATCCTTCAGAAAGCACACCGGTTCGTAGGGACCAGCGAGCGCAAACTTAGATTCTTGTAGACAAGTATGAAAAATTGGGCATATTTCGGAAGGCAATCAATCATTTTATTTCAGTTCTCTGTCATAAATCAAAACAAAATGTAAACAAGTACGTGGCCACCTATCAAGAAAAGATAATAAAGGATACAAACTGCAGAAGCGCAACAAACACATTAACGTTAAAGCAGTGTCAGACGTGGAAACGGTGAAATTTGAAAGTCAATAGAGTGAGCGTTAAAGTTGCCTTTGATTGTTCAAGTTCGTCCACAGCAATAGACAATACTGGAAGGCAGATATCATCATCACCTATGGTATTTGTTGTCAATCCACGTCAGTTTGTGAGTTGCGACCTTGGATGTAACTGGAGGGCATTAAAAGTAACTGACTAGCACTTATGTGGATCACCTTCAGGAATAAAACATCACATTATTATGAGGGTCAATGGCATAGCCATAAACAAAGTAACCGTTCTGTTACATTAATTAGTTACAGTCTCCCTGGAGTTTTGTTAAGAACTTATCAATCAATCAAATCGTTTTTTATTAGCTATCCATGCAAACGGGCAAAACAAATGACTTATGACAGTATATCTAGCGTCTCCATTAAAACAATTCACTGACCCAAGGCATAAATTAATGAAAAGTAATGGCGAAATATGACCACAAATCTTATTTAACAAAAATTTGAAATATGACAGATGTTTTTATATACATCATGCCTGGTTTAATCCCACAGCATAACTTCTTGTATTATAACAGTGGCAATACAACTTTTCCAAAAACACTCTCAGGCAACCTCTCACTCCAGGTAACTGATAAAAATGCATTAAAATGTTCACATCCCTCCTTCATTTAAAGAAAAATACATGTTTTAGCTGCAGCAATGGATGTTAGACAACATACTACTTTTAAGTGAGGACCAAATAGTAAAACGAGAATATCGGCCGGAGACCGAAGACTTATCGATCGGAACCGCAGTTTCCATTCATGACTCTATAGTGACGCCGCGTGCCCTATCACTAATTAATTGATAACTCGCTAATTATACGACATAATTCATCCAAAATCAATGGGCTTCTGGTCCGAGATATGATGAATGCACATGCAAAATTTGATTCAGCAGATTCAACTCCGCCTTCTTGAGATATCGCGTTCATCTAACAGACAAACAAACAGACAGACAAATACCTATCAACATACTTACCGATCTTAAGATCAATAAGTAATGAAAAAGGTATCAAGGCCCAACTATTTCATAGGAAATTTCAAATTTAACCTTGTAATGAACTTATCAAGAGACATTTAATTTGTTTAGTTGGAATGAACATAATGTATGATCGTTTGATGTATGAACAAAAACCATTTAGCACAAAATTTATATGTAATGTTGGAATCATAAAACTTTTTTGTGTATCACTGCCACAATTGAAATTCATTGTGGAGGCCCACCAAAATGCTGGGTGGCCCACATACTGTACCAGAGAATTGTCATCAGGAATGTGGCAAAGCGGAGTAAAAAAGGTCATGTACTCTTGATGCACATCTTTCAGTGATATATGAGTTCTAGTGAAGTCTGCACTGCAACAGCCTGCAAAATTGATGGGACAGTAGTTTAGAACCTTAACTTGAATTTAGGAATAATAAAATGGTAAGCATAAAATTACAGTGGAAGATAATTTTGAACAAAAATGACACAGAACTATTGCTCGACAACTATGGCAATATAAGACAAAGGGTTGATTCAGACGCAAGAACTAGAACAGTAAAAGACTACTACTTGACATCTGTTATTATTAGCATTATTATATCAATCAATCATGTTATTTCGGTTCTCTGACATAAAGCAAAACAACACAGATAATAAACAGACAAACAGAATGCAGAGATAGCAAGATATAGAATCTGCAATTCTGTGACAATATTTCATTCCAATAATGTATTCTCACATAGACTGTGGAGCCTCTATTTTGGATAATTACGCCTCCTATCCGACATTAGGAATTGATCACAGATTGTATTGGTCTTCAAACCTTGATGACATCTATAATGTAACTGTATGATATTTAAACCACGAACAAAATATATCAGATACTTCATATATATCAAACTCAAAGGAATGACGTCAAAAGAATTTTGAAAATTATTTTCAAATAATAAACAATAGACTAGTAATTGTGCTCTTTTAAACAACAAGTGCTTCACAAATTTCAGTAATATATTTAAATCCCACCTGAAATCTTTGTTTCTGACCATCATTTGCAAGATAAATATTCACTTTCTTCATTGTTGCAAATTCATCTAAATTCGGAAGATGCCAACACTTGTTACTATCACGACTTGTTCGGACGAATATACCCTGGCTTTACTGTAAATTTGGGTTTGCTTGAACTTGCTTGATTACTTTGGTCAGTATTTACACTACTTGGTGCCATATTTCCATCTTTATGCTGATGGAGAAAATTATTAGTTGGTTGTTGTGGAATTAGCAATCGTTTCTTTGAGGTAGCAGGCAAAAACTCAGTGCAAAGCATTGAAGACGTCAATTTTGCAAAATTTCCCCTTGAAGAAATATCACCCTTAAGTTTGATCTTATCAGATAGCATTGAACTTTTTGTATGTCCTGGCGTTTCAAACTCTTTGGATACTTTGTCTCGGCCTGAAAAGGAAATATTCGAAACAGTCTATTCTAGTCAAAGAGAAAAGGAAATTCACAACACAGCAATGTATACAACTAATATCTGCAAATTCCATATAATGTCTCTCCAAGTTTTTAATTAAGGTTTGTTGAGATAAATTCTTTCTACTAGTATTCAAACCCATGTGGTCAATTACAGAATATTTTTCATTCAACATTTACAAATATTAAAAATAAATAATTTAAAGTTACAGTTTAGCACAGGTAATTTCAACTTTGGTGATTAGAGCGATATGCAGACGTTTCGGCCCAGGTCTCGCACTTGAGCCTATGTGAGACGAAACGTCAGTAAGCCAATACAACATTTATTTTCTGAGTTTACTACATTTCCACCACATTGTTTATGTCCTCTTTTCAGTACTTATCAACACATATACTTAATAATAGTAAATAATGACAAACCTTTATGCTTATGATTTTTTTCTTTTGCTAAATTACGAAGTCTAGAGACAACAGCTATTCTTCTTTGCATTAATTTGTTTCTCGTCTCATCCACTGTTTCATGTTCAGGTGCATAAAAAACATGCAACATCGATCCAAAAAAATACATCTCATCTGATTTACGTTTCGCTACTCTGTGTCGAAGAACAAAATTATAATAAAACAGTGAATTCAGTATTATATGAATTCAAATGCAATATGAAATACCCAAATGATCTTGCTACTCTTCACAGTTCATATAATGGAAGGAACACAGGAATCCCCAACTTTTAGAAATTATATAAAATGGAATCTACTATGTAAAATTACAACACCAAAAGTAATACTCATACAAACCTGGCAGCTTGTATATCTTGAAATTTTACCAGAAAGACTTGTGTAAATGGTTCTTTTGGATATTCATCAATAGTTTCACACTTAACTACTGTGCCATACTTTGAAAAAAGATTCACCAATTCTTTTTCTAGGCCCGTAGCATGTACATTTCTCACCATGATGTATTGAGATTCCGAATTAACAGTGAAAACCTAAAGAGAAAATACAATTATTGGAAAACAATGCTATGGTTCAGATATAGCATCGAATAATATTCATGTGATAAAACATCTCTGAAATTGTAAAGTTTTTCAAAACAACTTTTTCTGTAATTCACAATTGTCATACGTAGTTCACTAGCAAGTACCGAAATATACTAGATCTTAAATTCTCTTTGATGGCTATGATTCGATAATAAGTTTTAAAGATTCTTCGTTAACATATAATGAAATGGAAACCTTAACAGCTGTAGAACGTTTTCCTTTTCGGTATTCCCTCCTCGTTAAACAATACTCAAGTTTCTTGTGATGGGTCGGAAGCTTTTCTATACTTTCTTCAAGATCTCCGTTCTCATCATCGATGGTCGTCATATTACCCAAAACAAAACAACACTGGTACTATTGAGTATAAATTCTAAAATAAAATTGCTTATTTTATACTTTCACAAAACAATTCACACAATAGACATTAAACAAAATGTAAAGAAAACTCTTTCAGGACGTGAATGAAACTGCAAATAAAATAATAAAAAAAATTAATATTACAATAAATGAACCAATTGATTTGAACCAATAATAGTAACCATATTCTCATATTTTTTTCTTAGTAGGTAATTTTATTGTCATTGCTTATGCAAATGTGATCAGACATAGCTAAATGGGATCAATATGAACATCTCAAAATATGTATTCTAATTCAATGCAACTGGAAACTTTCAGACTCTTATAATGGGGAAGCATTCGATAATGTTTTTGCAATTCATTCTAAATATTTAAAACCTTCCACACTCCAAATTCTGAAATTCCAATAGATTTTTGGCCAGAATATGATTTTTACAATGGTACCCTTGATGACAAAAAAGACTAAACATAATTTCGGCAATACTATCTTCGCAGTTTAAGATAGTGACAAAATATTATTATTGTAAAAGAATAACATTATATTAATATACATAGCCAAAAAAATTCAGATATAAAGATTTGCATTACAAAAGGTGAATGACATGAAGAAGATATAACGTTATACTTATAACTGTATATAGCAAGTACTTTTTAAACATCGAATGATTCATGTACAAAAACACAGTACTGCAGTACGCAGTAGGACGCTAGAAATGGCCAAGACAGATGTTATAGTATCGAAGTTTTTACATGAGCACGGGTAATACTGTAATATGTTGATCAAGCTCATCCAACATTCCATTTCAAATTCCCCCCACCATCATTGGGTTGCATTGCCTGTGCTTTTTCTAATTGCTTTTGCTCTTTGAGTTTTTCTGGATCTTTAACACCTCTTGAATCGGCTGTGCTTGGCGCCGATCTGCAGCTTCAGCCATCTGTTTTCTTCTTTCTTCGGGGTCAGGAGTTGTGTCATTACCAGAATCACCTAACGGGCAACATGCAAATGCACCATACCGGTACTGGAGTGCTACCAACTCTATAAAATTCAAGATAGAGGTGCTCAAATAATAATAATAAAAAAATCAAATAACACGTTGGTGGTTGTGTGAGTGTTTAAAAAAAAAAAAAAAAAAAAGAGATGCTCAAATATAAGAACAGACAGGAAGGCAAAAAGAGGTCGCACGGTATGCTACGGCTACGTATGCTGATATGCAAAAAAAAGATACGGTACGGTATGCAAACTGTCACAATAAATAAGCAACGACTTCGCCTGATCACAGACATTGAGGTAAGGTTTTTAAAAACCTTAAGTTTTTTTTTTTAAAAAAAGTGCAGTTTTAAGTATTTTGTGGCGTCTAGAGCTGCTGCATTGGCCGCTATAACCAAACCCACGGCGACTGACATTTTAGCTGCCACAAACCAATAGCGAGCTGCCGTAGTTACGGCAGCAAATCGAATACCACTAATTTTGCTGTCGTAACCACGGCATGTGGGCTGCAATAGCAGGGCTGCCCCTGATGGTGATAAATATTGGGTAAGTTGGAACGCTTTTCTTATGAATATAGTTTTGATGTATTTGGGGTTAGGTTTGAGTAAATATAATTCCGCATGATAAACTAAAATATTGTACATAACTTTGTAAATATACCGATAATAGCGCGATAAAACCATGGCAGGAGACGCCGCAGTACGTTCGTGGCAGGAGCTGCCATGAAGTGGTAAGAACTCATCAAAGTGACTATAACACATTCACAAGTGATGACAACCAGTGGTAAAGTTATAAGCGCTTGTGTGACGTCAAACCCGCCATTTTGGGTTCAAAGTTATATCGATGGATATGATCGCTAAGTTATATGCAGAGCATAGGTGGGGTTGCCAACCGTCCTTTATTTCAAAAGACAATCCTTTAATTAAGCTTTTCGGTCCTTGTCATTTTTAGCTGATTGTCCTTTATTATTTCCAGCGTTTGGCCCGATAGTTATAGCGTAAATATATACTACTACGGTTATAATACGGTGTTTGATATTGTTCCGTTCTTAAAAAATTGCCTCCGTTTATGTATTTGCAAGTTTTTAATTATTCTTTTTAATTTCGCTTTGGTCCGGCTCAAATAGCCAAAGAAATAACAATTTTATTAACATTGTTTGGGTCAATGTTAAATGAACATTAAATGAAAAACACGTGAAGATTGTTTTATTATACCTTTTTAGCCTGTATATAATTTTTTTTTTCATTGTTTTATATTGTTCTTTCCTGCAAGTTACAAAATGAAAGATGACGGTAATCGATGTCCTTTATTGAAACTTTTTAAAGTTCGCAACCCTAAGCGTAGGAGTAAACTTTCCTGGCACTTCTGATAATTTCCATACGCGTGTCACATCCCGTGATTATGTGCAGGAAATTACTGAACCTCAGAACGGTTCAGGATGGTTTTCACAACCACTGGTCGTTTACGACTTCCTTCACCATCAAGTCCATGCGCCTGGAAATTATGACCGATCAACAAATCAGAAACTGGATAGGGGATTCGCAGGACAGGATAGGGATTCGCTGTATAATTAAGATCTCACAGGTTATAGTTAAAGTAGTATACTGTTATGATTCTAAACTCAATATTAATCCACCAACACCACCACCCAAAGAAAAAACACCTTCAAAGACCAAAAAGGTATAACGACAAAATGTAACAAAAAAGAAGAACAGCAACAATCCGGGATAGCAGGAGCTCCACTCAACGTGTCAACAACATCTGACTTATCTCAACATAGCGAGATAGTGAGTGGAATCCTTTCTCTAATAACAAGGAATATAATACAAGGCATCACCTTGCAACTTCCTACCATGGTAGGCCAGTGCCTCCAGGAAAACTATGACTTTTCAGATAACTCTGATATACTAACCCCTATAACACCAAATATCCAAGAAGTACTCAGTGATTTGAGCCAGTCCATGCGAGAAATAAGATCAGAATTAGCTGAAATAAAAGAAAGCCAATCATTTCATACCAAGATGTATGATGACCTCGCAAATAAAAACAAAATCTTGGGAAAACAATTATCTGATAACAAAAGAACTATCGATAATCTTCTTGAGCGAATATATGATCTGGAAGACGATCTATACTATGTCTCGGAGAAGCTTGAAGATCAAGAAAGACGCGGGCGTCTAGAGAATCTCGAGTTTCATGCAGTCCCCATCACTGAAAATGAGAATACGGATGAAATAGTCTGTAACATAGCAAAGATGATTGGCGTTAACATCCATGCCACCAATATCTCTGTTTCACACAGAATGCCAACAGGAGCCCAACATATTAGAACTCCTGCCATAATTGCAAAATTCGTCCACCGCAAAAACAAAATGAAGATCTTTGAAAAATGAAAGTCCCTCCGATCAATCAAATCAAGCGCAGTGTTCAAACATCCTTCAAAAATATTTATTGCAGAAAATCTAACGGCTCTGAATAAAGATCTGTACTTCAGAGCTAGAGCTGCAAAAAATAACTGCGGATACAAATTTATATTTTATGGACCTCAAATGGAAAGGTATTCGTGAAAAAGAACAGCGATGTCAAAAACTCACTAAATATTAGATGTGATGAAGATCTGTCAAAAATCAAATAACTGTTATGTGAGTGCAATTTTCTACTTATTCTATGTTGACTAATACTGATCTAACATGTCATTTATGTAGAAAATTATTATTATCTGATCAAACTAAAACAAACTGTGAAATATGTGCCAAACTATTCCACTCTGAATGCACTCTCGCCTCCGCATCCCTTCGCGCACCACGATCTCAGCCTTATTTTTGTTATTCGTGTTTGAATGGAATCTCTCCCCCTCGATCTAACCATAAGGTTCATAGTGCACTTGACCAGAATTCCAAATTTCTAAGCGAAATAAGTAGATGTGAATGCGCAAATATACAAGTATCCGATTTGAATTCTACCAGTAGGTCCATGCCAAGAAATTGTTTTATTGCTTTTCACCTAAATATTAGATCTCTCCAAAAAAATCACGATGAGCTTGTCAATCTATTATCTGAATTAGTTACACCCCCACATCTCATTGCCATTTCAGAAACGAGGCTTGGTGCGACTCCCACCTCAAATATTTCCATTTATAATTATGAATTCATTCACAAACCTTCCAAAACAATTGCTGGGGGAGTTGGCCTATATGTTACTCGATACCTTAGTTTTTGTGAGATTCATGAATACGATCTAGAACATCCAGACTGTGAAGATTTATGGATCAACTTAAAACTAAATTCCAACATCTCTTTCATAATTGGAGTAATCTATAAACACCCAAGAAAAGATATCATCAAATTTACCGAAACTATTTCCAATGCATTAGAAAAGTTGAATAGGAACAAAAGATTATTTATCCTACTGGGTAACTGGAACATTGATTTATTGAGTCATTCAACAGATCTGGCCACTATGAGGTATATGGACCTTTCCCCGACCTTTAACCCCCAGAAAAATCTTCCCATACTTTACCATTGCAAAATTTCCGGGGCTAGTTTAAGAAGGCTTTTGCAAGTTGGCGTCTGTAAAACGGGGTATATGTTTCAAACCATCATGATTTATTCCATACAACAATCTGTTTTTAAAGGTACCGGTAAAGAATTTCAGGGTAGTCTATCACAGCTATTTCTACACTAATTTTGATTACTGCAATTAAATTAAAACTCCTAGGAAGACAGAGTGATCATTTAAATAGCTGATTTATATCAAAGTTCCCAAAACACAACTGAAAACTAACGAATAGAGTTCAGAAAAGCGAAAACGAGGTAATGTTTACAACCACGCTTGAAATTCTGTCTGAGTGAAAAAAGTGTCTGAGCGGATACGAAAAGGGGGCATTGTTACGTCACTTTTTGCATTTTGCTGATTGGCCAATGTCACGAAGTAAACAAGGAAGTCGATGCTCGGGGAAAGGTCCATTGATATGCACCTTGCCAATTTATCACTGCCCCTAATTACTAAACCAACACGAGTAACTCGTACATCTAGTACATTGATAGATAATATTTTTACAAATTCCATTAACCATGATTTGTCAAGCTTTGTCATCCTAAGTGATATTAGTGATCATTATGCACAATTATGTACAATCTCTGCTCTCGTTAGTAAGATAAATAAAGATTACTAAGGCGAGATATGAGACATTTCTCTATTGATAGCTATAGATCTGACCTAGAATGTTCTTTGCACCCCATATCGAATTGCCAAATTACATCTGATAATTTAAATATTTTATTCGTTTCATTCATTCAGATATTTAAATCAACCATTGATGACAATGCACCAATGAAACCACTGAGTCGGCGAGACAATAGACTTCTAGCTAAACCTTGGTTGACTAAGGGCATCCGCGTATCAATTAAGACGAAACAGAAAATGCATAAAAAATATTTTAAAAATGGTAGCGACACAAAATATAGTTTATAAAAAACTTACAGCAATTTACTTAGAGTCTTGATAGCCAAAGCAAAGAAATTGCATTACTTTAATAAGTTTAAACAAGTCAGTGGCGACGTTAAATCAACGTGGAACCTAATTGGGCGACTGGTCAATATAAAAAAAGACACAACCCCAACAACTACAATTAAAGCACTAAAAACAGAAACTAGGCAGAAAGTAAGCAATCCAGATCTTATTGCCAACCATTTTAATGATTATTTTATCTTTATGGGCCCTAAGCTTTCTGAGAAAATCCCTCACACTGGATTTTTTTTGAGCAACCTTAAGAATCCCATAAAAGAGTCTTTTTTTT